CCTTGCAGATCTCTACAAACACAAATTCATCAACTGCAGGCTCATAAACAACACGTTTATGAACGAGAAGGAAGGCTGTCACCTGGACTTCGAGGAGGACAATGATTTCCTGATCTACCTGGTCAGCTTCCTGGGCAGTCTGTCGGTGCTGCCAGGCAACATCATCTCTGCGTTACTCATGGACAAAATAGGGAGGATAAAGATGATCGGTGAGTGGGGCTGATGGGTGCATGGCACGGGTCATGGGCTTTGCACGGCTTTGCAAAGAGCCAAGGTCAGTCTGAAGGTCCCACTGCGCCTGCACACACCAATGTAAGCCCAGCTGGCTCGGGTGGGGATGAGTCGTTCCCATATCAAATGGAGCAGAAGGGTAAAAAAATCAAGGGCGAGGCAAGTGGTCTACTCTGTGGCTGTGGGCAAGTTACCTGCTCCGCGCCTCCCCACCCTGCTTTTCTGTGTGACACCCTTCTTTTTTTATTTTGACTTTTATGTCAAAGCCTGTCTGTTTGTCCGGTGCTCAGCACAACAGGGTTGGAGCTGAAGCAGGACCTCTTGGTGCTGTTGAGTTGATGCTGATGTCTGTAGCACTTTGTATAAATAAATAAACACTTTGCTTGTAGCAATGAATGTTTACAAAGGTTATTTGATGTGGCTGCTTGGCAGCCCAGGAGTTCCCTCTTTTGGTCTTCTGATTTTCAAATTATTTTACAGACAGCTTCAGAAAGCATATGGTAGAATAACTGACCATGTCACAGCCAAGCCAGATGCCACCCTTTAGCATTATGGGAATAAGTTATTGCCTTACCAGCTTTATGATTACTTTGGGAAATTCTGGTGTTGCTTACTTCAGGGTTCACGCCTTGCTCTCCAGGTACTGTGGGAATCATGCCTCAAGGGACACCCAAATGAGTTTAATAAAATCAGGGATGTGCCTCAGGGGTAAGGGGTGACTCACTCCCTTGAGCTCACGTATGTCTCTCTTCTGAGAACAGAAGTTTAGTTAGCTTAGCCTCACCGTCAGGCGGGTTAGGGTAAGCAAGATGACCCCACAGGTGTGTCAGGAATGTACGCTGGTGGGAAAATAAGCATTCATGTAGTGAATTTGGAAAGGACCTAAATAAACTGACGGGTCTGTGGTAAAGAAATTAACTAAAGCTGAATAAGAATCAGATTGTCCACCCTGCAACATGTCAGCCTTTCATCATTTTCATCTGGAATTGAGATGACAGCTGGAATCCTAAACGCTTATTTCTTCTGCAGAATGAAAAGTACAGGACAAAAATTAGTAACGACACACTGAAACGTTTCACTATGGAATTTTCAATTGGAACAGCCTCCTGGCATTCCATCCATATCACTCTGTTGAACATATTATTTCTGGTCAGCTTAACAGGAAAACTGAATTTCACTTTGTGTTATGTGCCTCGCTGGGACTTCAGTTCAGTTTTACCACGTTCTGCTAAAAGCTCTCCTGTGCCAAATGTCAAATCTCTCGGTGCACACACGCTGACCCTAGTGCTGCACTGTACCTCTTCAGCAGAGGCAATATCCACACTGCACAGTGGGGGATGGGATGTAGTTTGGCCAGGTACCATGGAAGAGAAGTGGATATGGAGTTCTGCATAGGCAGGGCACTTTGGTGGCAAAATGCAACATAATGTCCAAAATGAAGCATTTTAGTTCCAGTTCAGCATCCAAATTATTTTGGACGGCATCAGATTGATTCAAAAAACCCCAAACAAACAAATTGTTTGGTTTCCTGGTAGTAAATGGAGATATTTCTGCAACAACAGAACTTTCTGGTGAAAGACACTTTGATTTTGCAAAAATTTGCATTTTTCAGGTGAAAATTCCCAACGGGGTAGAAGGCAGTGATGTAGACATTAATATTTCTGAATCTGAACTATGCCTAACTGAGCATGAACATTCTCACTTTCTCCCTTGGTGGTGTTCATAAAATTATGGCTCCTGTGCAAATGTGCCATGAAATCTAATGATGTTCTTATAATTAAAAGAGACCTCAAGTGCTTCATACAATTGACTGTAAATTATCCTAATTGAGACTATAAATGTGTCAAGTGATTTCAATACAATATGAAATGCACCAGCGCTTCACTCAAAACTCAAGCTGGAAAACCTTCACAATGATTCTTCCTCCTCATTGACTTTCATGTTTACTTGCCTCTGCTCTTCCTGGGTCCATCTGGAAGTCTGAGATCCTGGAAACCTGCCTGGAAAAGCCTGTCTTTGGAGACTCCGTAGAGCAGGAATATCAGCAAGATCAGATGGTCATTGAGAACATTTTCAGGCTGGTTTCCAGCATCAGAGAATGACAGATAGGCAACATCAAGGTATTTTTGGATTCTTGAAGATTTAATTTGTTTTGGGGTGAAACATTGTCACTTGAAAGCCATCTTTATCAACAAATGTGTTTGCTCAACTGTGGACAGGGGAAACTGGTGCCAACATTTTTCTCTTGGTTTCCCCCCACCGTAGGTGGCTCAATGTTGATCTCGGCAGTGTGCTGCTTCTTCCTCTTTTTTGGCAACAGTGAGTCAGCAATGATCGGCTGGCAGTGCCTCTTCTGTGGGGCCAGCATTGCCGCCTGGAACGCCCTGGACGTGATCACTGTGGAGCTCTACCCCACTGACAAAAGGTGCTCAGAATATTTCTCCTTTTAGTCTCCACCCTCTACCTTTGGCCTCTCAGTCCCTGATGGAAAAACTTAATGCTTACCCTAGAAACATGTAGATGAGGGAGGTGTATTTTTTTGATTTTCACCGGTCCTTAAGGGTTGGGTAGTGCTGCAGCTATATTGGATCAGCACAGACATTTGCACACATAATTCTGCATGCACAGTGGTATTTACGCAGGGAGTTGCGTGGGGGTATGGAAATTACAGGCAGATTAAATACGGAGTCTGTCATTTCCGTGGATGTACTTGGAGGGCTGGCCTTTCAGACTGTATCCCCCAGCCTCTTGTCGTAGCTGATCACCGTGACAGCCTTCCCTCCACCACAACCTGGAGACAGCCACATGCACAGAATGATTTGGCAGCACAGGAAACTGGGAGAATGTGCGGCAGGTGAAATCTTTCCTTGTGACATCATTATAAACCTTTTTTGCCTTTTTCAGGCTGTTGAGGTAAGCCAGAAGGGAAGGAGAAGGACTCTGCTTTAAAGGCAGTCTGCTTTTAGCTGCTGGGTGAAGCAGAATTTGGAGGAGAGCCCAGGTTGTTTCTCTGGTGACAACCCACTCCAGCCAGTGCTTGGAAGGGCTTTGAGAAGTTCTAGAGCAGGTTATGTCCTGCTGTCTTTGGAGGGGCAAAGGCTGTCATGGTGGGCCACTCTAGGGCTAGGAAGAAGCTGAGATGAAAAGGAGAAATGAGTGCACACAGACATTCTCCTCATTCACACAGACATGCAAAACACCAACATCTATTTGCCTATTTATTTATTCTGCCTGGCTTTACTTGCTAGAAGTGTAGCCTGGGCAACACAAGAGCATTCACAAGATTACGCATCTAAATCTTCTGTAGTTATGCTGAGAACCTCCCTCCTAACCACTGCTTTCTGCTCTTCTTCCCTGCAGGGCAACAGCCTTTGGCATCCTCAATGGGCTTTGCAAGTTTGGTGCCATCCTGGGGAACTCAATCTTTGCCTCCTTTGTAGGGATAACGAAGGTGGTTCCCATCCTTCTGGCTTCCTCTGCTCTGGTTGGAGGTGGCCTGCTTGCTTTGCGCCTGCCAGAGACTCGAGAACAGGTCCTGATGTGAGCAACGGAGGCCAGAGTGTTGGCGGGGGGCAGCGCTGGAAGGAGAACAAAAAAGAGCCATGTTTGGGAAAAACAAAATGTCCATTTCGATACTGTTCTGTCGATACCTCAAAGAAAGAGGGCAGAGGGAAAGAAGACCCCAAAGGGATCAAATGAAGCCCCTAGTTTCTCACCCTTTTACAGCCACGACTGGTGCATGCAGCTACCACACA